CTCCATCCGTGAACTGCGTGCAAAAATGCGATCGCCGCTAAGGCGAGAGCCACATCTTGAAAGCGGGCCGCCCTACATTCGTAAAGCTCTTGCAATGTTTCAACGAATGTGCGCGGCACTGAGGCGAGACTCACTGAGGTGAAAGCGGACCGCCCTCCATCCGTGAAGTTCTCGCAACGCTGAGGCGAAAACCACATTTTGCAAGCGGGCCGCCCTACATTAGTGAAGCATGTATATATGACCGTTTACGCTTGTGTAAGGCAATACTGTTTGGGGGCATCGTTGAACGCCGTCTCCTTCCGTAGCCTCTTTCCAAGGCTTGCAGGGTTTGAGGGGCCTCGGGCGAGCCGACACCTCACTGCTTTGGTGCTCGCCCGAGGTCCTCGTCTGCTTCCTCCGGTTCCGACCTGGTCCGCCCCAGGTCGGGGTGGGGACTCCCGAGAGAGAGAGACGGCGCTGCGAGCGCAAGCGCCCTCTCATGGCCGGAGATCAGGACGAGGAGCTGGACGGGAGCGCGCAGCTGTACACCCCGTCGGGCGACGAGCTGGACGAGGAGGGCGGAGGACTGCCTCCTGTCCCCGCCGAGGATCTGCGGCTCGACGAAGGCCAGGTGTACTCGTCGACTGGCTACGATGCCCAGGGGGACGTCCAGTGCCGCTTCACGTGGGTCGTCCTTCGCCTCTCCGTCGGGGTCGAGACGTACGCCAGGCCGAGGTTCCTTTTCTCAAGCGACCCGTACTGGGACTGGTGGGCGTCGAACCCAGGCGAGCGGGGTGCTGTGACTGCGCGGCCCCTCGTCCATGTGTGTCGGACGCAGCCGTGCCAGGTCCAGCCCCCGCGGGGCTGCACAGAGCTGGTGCACATCACAGATGCGACCCCCGTCTCGGCCGACGAGATGCGGCAGATCTTTGCGTCGTTCCTCTCGGACAACCCAGGCGCGGTCTGGCCCGCCGACCTCTTCGGACCGCGGCTCGCTGGCGGGGTGCCCGTGGAGGCGCCAGCCAGGAGGCCGGCCGCGTCGGAGCAGCCAGGGCTGGACGAGCTTTGGAGTGGCGACGTTGTCGAGGCGGAGGGGAGCAGCCGCCGCGCCAGCCTCCGCGGGAAGCTGGAGGCAGCGCAGGATCGCTTCGCGCGGCTTCAGCAGCAGCGGCGGGCCGCCGCGGGAGCTGCGGAGGCGGTCGCTGCCCTGGACGACGAGCCGCCCGCGAAGGTCCCGCGGCAGGGCGGGCCGCCACCGCAGCGGTCGCTCGCCGAGGTCCTCGAGGACCGCGTGCGGAAGGCGGCGAAGGTCGGGGCAGTTGCCTCGGCCGAGGACGCCAAGGGCGCAGAGGCGGCCGCCGCCGCGGCTGGGCAGGGCGGAGCTGGCGTGCAGGAGCTGCTGACGGCCCTCCTCAAGGCGCTGCAGAGCGCGTCCAGGTCGTCCGACGACCCGTCCTTCGGCGGCGACGGTGGTGTCGCCACCGCCGAGGGCGACTTGCTGCCGAAGGGCCTCGCGTCTCGACGGGCCCACTGCAGGAGATTGGCCCTCGAGCACCCAGGCAGACTCGCGGAGCTGAGCCTGGCGCAGATGGCAGAGTTTCTGGGGTCGCAGGACGGCGGCGGGTCGGTCGATCCGCATGGCCCGATCGTCCTTCGGTTCCTCTTGTCGGTCTACTTGCCGCAGCACCCTGTGAAGGAGATAGGGGGCGAGATCTACCGCGAGCTGCGGACGATCGCGGAGGCGCTGGACCTGTTGCTGCAGGGGCGCACGGCCGCGGTGGCCGACATCCTGGCCCAGCGCTTCAAGGCCATCCAGGTGGCTGTCGGGGACGGGAGCTGGTCGGCGGCGAAGTGGCTCGAGCTGATACCGCCGCGGGACCAGCCTCTCGCGCTGCGCAACGAGGAGGAGGAGATGATCAGGAGCATCCAGCACGGCGAGCTCAAGCTGGAGGAGCTTGCCTCACGGCTGCGGCAGAAGCCTCAGGGCTAGCAGGTCGGCCGGGGCGAGGTGGGTTCGGCGTTGCCCCCACGCCCTGCTGGCCACGCAGGGGGGATACCCCCTGCTGCAGCGCAGGCCCAGGCGCAGAGGCAGCCAGCAGCCGCAGGCTCCGCGGAGGCCGACCGCATGCTGGCCGACAGGTCGGCAGCCCCAGCCCGTTCGGTCGTGCTGACGCGGCCCTGGAAGGATGCCAAGGCGAAGTACCCGAAGAAGCCTGGCGAGACGGTCAAGGCGTACGATGCCCGTCTGCGGAGCCTCGTGCCGACGCTGCGGTAGAGGTCGCCCCGCCGCCCGCAGCGAGCGGTCTTGGGGGGGGCCTGGCCTGCGCGGGCGCCTCTGGGGGCAGCGCTGCGGCCGATGGCCCACTCAGCGCCGCCGAGGCCCCTCCAGGCCCCCTCCCAGGCCAGGACCCGCTCACCACTTCGGACTTCCAGGACTGGCTGCGCGTGGTCACGGTCGGCTTTGGGTCGAGCCTCACTGCCGTGGACTTGTCCGTCACGCTGCTGGGCCTTGCCATCACGGACCCTGGGGGTCTGGGCGCCTTCGCTAGGGAGTTCACGATGCGTACGTCCACAAGGCGGGGGAGCGGGGTGCGGGGACGTGACGTCCTCCCGCTGCCCCTGCCCTCTCTCTCCCTGGCGAGGCGATGGATTCGCAGCCGATGCGGCCCTCGCAGCGGCAGGTGCCGTCTCGCAGGAGTGGCCAGGTCCGTCATGGTGGAGTGCTGGCTTTACATGGAGGTGCTCGGCCTCAACCGCATGTACTGTGGGCGGGCGACCGCCACCTGGCAGCACGAGGGGTCCCTCACGCTGGCGCAGCGGCAGGCCATGACGCACCTCCTGTCGCGGGCCGAGGTCTTTGCGGAGGACCCCTTCGCGAGCGTGGAGGTACCCGCGCTGTCATCCGCCCTCCAGCACGCGGCCATCGACTACAGCGGGGAGCCCACGGTCAAGGCACTCCCGTGCGTGCTCGCGGAGCTGAAGCCGGGCCTGCCGCAGCCGGAGCACGCAGGCGCCTTGGACGCATGCGAGTTCGTGGATGCGGACATCGGCACCTGGCTGAACGACCCCACGGTGGCGCTGAAGCCCGAGGCTGAGTGGCCCAACCCGCTCCCGAGGGCGCGGGTCAACGTCATCTCTGACGGCGACTGGGAGGCCCTGGCGGTGCACTTGGTGAAGTTGGGCATCTTTACGGTGCTCGAGCCGCATGAGGTGTTCCAGGTGCGGGGCGCTCCGCTCCTCAACGGCCTCTTCGCAGTCGAGAAGAAGGGAGCGCCTGGGCCGGGGGCCGAGCGGGTCACCAGGCTCATCCTCAACATGGTCCCAGGCAACTCGCTCCTCAAGCCGTTCGTCGGTGAGGCGTCTACACTCGCGGCGTCGACGGGGTGGACGACCCTTCATCTGCCCGAGGGCTCCCTGCTGCTGTGGTCTGGCGATGACCAGAAGGGGGCTTTCTTTGTGTGGCGGATCCCGTGCTGCTGGCATGCTCACATGGCGGTGGGCAAGGCGCTGCGCGGCGACCTGTTTGGGCGCGCGGCGCCGCGGGTCTTCGTCGCCTCAGCTGTCATCTCGATGGGTTGGATGCTCGCCGTGCCGCTGTTCCAGCACATACATCGGCGGCTGTGTCGGCTTCCGCCCCCGCTCGGAGCGGGCCTACCACCAGAGGCAGAGTGGCGGAAGGACACGGTGCGGCCGCTCGCTTTTGCTAAGCAGGGCCCCGTCCTTGCATCTTGGTGGCAGGT